AACAGAAAAAAAAAAAAAAAAAAAAAAAATTGAAATCTGGTCATCCCTACGGATGAAATCGGTCGGAAACGGTCGAAAAGCTCCTCTATTGTTTTCTACTTTTATATATGAATACGAACGCGGAAGTGGAAACGGTATAGCCAGAAACGAAAACGAAAACGAACTTATGGTATTTCGAAAACGAATCAATTCGAGCGGAATTATGTCGAACACGGCCGGTGTACGAAAATTCAATACGAAATACCGACCCACGGTGCACAACTTTAAACATGTGAATGACCAAACTAACAAGTGCATGATTTAGTTCAAGTGCACATAATAGTTAAAAGGTGCATGACCTTAAGTATCATCATAACTCAAAAGTCTAGAACAAGCAATGAAGCAATTAATAGGACACAAACATCTACAGTTCATCAGCATCATCCATGATGTCAGGATCACTTTCCATGTCCTTTGCTTCCTCATTGTCCACCTCATTGTCCTCATCTCCCTCCTTGTTATTTTCCTACAAGTTTGTAAAAGTTAATTAAAATTGTCCTCAACACCAATATAAAGTCAAAATCGAATTCTGCATAATAAAAATTTTCACCCAAGTTCTCAGGTCTAGTATTAAAAGATACTAATAGCTCGACATGCTTCTGGAATAACAAAGAAAATAGGTAGAACAATCAAAGGCTAACACTTAGAACATTTTAATTCACTGCAACTTCACAAAAGCAGGAGCCAGCATCCTCAATTTCTTTACCACACATATGCTAGGCATAACTAGTGAAGATTACAACAAAGTCCAATACTACCAGAGGAAACAGTCAATAAACATACCTCAATTTTCAGTTTAGCCACAACATTAGTTAAAGCGTCAACCTCAAGATCACTCACAATTGATCCAAGCTTTTTAGAATCTGAAAAAAAAAAATAAAAAAACAAAAATTCAATGCATTTCTGTTGCAATTACAAGTATCAAACCAAAAAAAAAAACAAGTAAAATGAGCACCTTTACTTGCTGCAGCAACCCAATCCTTTGTGCAAATTAATGCCTGTACCATCTCGGGATCAAGCCGACTGCGATAGGGATCAACAACACGGCCAGCAGCACTAAAAGCAGACTCGGATGCTACTGTTGACACTTGTATGGCCATTACATCCCGAACAATTTGTGAAAGGATAGGATACTGCTCTCTCTTGTTTTTCCACCATGCTAAGATGTCAAACTCACCACTAAGTTTCAGTAGTGGTTCTCCAATATACATGTCCAGCTCATTTGACTCAACCATACCAAGTTCACTTGCTTCATATAAGAATTCTTCTAAGTCATGGTCTATATTTTCCATTAATATATCAGTTGTGTTACTAGGTCTGGGTGCAGCCCCTTCTCTAGTTTTCTTTGATGATGCAGCAATATTAACATAAAAGTTGTACAGTTTCTTTACCACAGTAACAAACTCATCAAGTTCAGCTTGATAATAACCACCATAGAACTTCTTCATGTAGTATTCTATCAGCCTTTTCTTATACCTAGGGTCAAGAAAACAGGCTACAGCTAGAGCAATGTTGGACTGATCCCAATATTTGTCAAATTTTGACTTCATAGAAATTGCCATTTCTCTAATTGTAATATTTTCATCATAGCGCCACTCATCAAGCAAGACCTTGATATCACAGAAACCTCTATAAAATAAGTTTGCAGTAGGGTATGAAGTGCCAGAGAGAATTTCAGTGAGATCATAAAATTTCTTCAAGCAACCATAAATTGTCAATGCATTGTCCCATTCAGCAGAAGATAGAGAAATCTTGGCATACTTACGGCGATCTGAAGACTTCAGCCTAATAAATGCATCCTTGTAGTACAAGGCATCTCGCAGCATTAGGTAGGTAGAGTTCCACCTTGTTGAAACATCCATTTGAATACCCCTCTTTGTATCCAACCCAGCTTCAGTGGCACACTTCATAAGCTCTTCCCACTGCAATGGAGACCCTTTCACAGCTAATACAAGTGATTTGATCTTGCTGAGTGTTCCTGAAATGACTTTCAACCCATCTCTAGCAACCAAATTCAGAATATGGCATGCACACCTTACATGAAAAAATATCCCATCACAAACTAGGGAACCATTACCATTGTCTTTCAGATCTGAAATTATATCATTGACAGCCACTTCATTTGAACTAGCATTATCCAAAGTCAGAGCAAACAGTCTATTTTCAATGTACCATTTAACCATAACTTCAGTGAATGTTTCAGACAACTTTGCACCGGTATGCCTACCTTTTACATTGAAAAAACCAATAATTCTCTTTTGCATATGCCAATTATCATCTATCCAATGAATAGTAACACACATGTACCCTTTGTTTTGGCATGAGGTCCACATATCCATTGTTGCACTAAAGCGGCACTTCATAGTCTTCAAGTATGCATACAAAGTTTCCTTTTCTTCAAGATATCTGTCCATTATTTCTTTCCTAACAGTGACACGGGATTTTATCGGAAAGCTAGGACGGAGAGATTTGATGAAATCAACCAAATACTCATGCTCAACTATATTGAAAGGATATTCATGCATGATTATTGCCAAATTTAATTTCTTCAAGCTAGCTTCTTGGTCAAATCTGTAAGGCTGAACATGAGCAATTTCAGAACCAGGGTTCTTACCAACTTTAAGCTGTTGTTGTCCCTTCACAATACTGTGTTTTGAAAGTAAATGGTGCTTGAATGAAGTTGTGCCATTGATGCCCTCTGCTCTGTATTTCTGCTCACACCTAGAGAAATTGCAGTGTCCCCACAACTCCTCAACTAGCTTTCCTTCCATCTCTACATACTCTTTTTTCTTGGTGAAATAACTCCAGACCCACGATGTCAATTTCTTAAACCTCTTGCCAGAAAGGCGAGCTTGCTCATCATCCTCTTGTTCATCATTGTCGACATTAATTGGCACTTGAACCTGCTCTGTTGCATCACTCTGAACTGATGCTGCCACTGATCCTAGCACTGATGCTACTGTAGCTGGACTTTCACAAGTTCCACTAGATGCAACACTTTGAGATGCTTCCCTTCTACTCCCTGATCCTACCAACAGCCAAGTGAAACATTGCTAAATTAGAAAAAAAATAATCTAAAATAGCCAAATAATCTAGCAAAAAGATACACGGACGGCAAATCACCTTAACATCTATTGGTAGGGTTCAGGTTATTAACATAACATCATGGGATGGGATAGGCATGCAAATAGCGACACATACATTAATTTGGAACCTGGTAAGCTCACTTAAAGCAGTCCAACTTGTTTATAGTTGTCAAAAAGTGGTCTAAAATGTCATTAAAGGTTAACACAGATTGGGTAGACAGACACATTGCATTTAAATTTGTGCTCCAAATAGCAGTGGGCGGAGACTGAATAGCAGTACACAAACGAAACTAAATACTCTACATTTGCCTGATGAATAGCAGTGCACAAACGAAAATGAATTTAGTGGTAGGAAGACGAACCTGCTGTTGGAGACGTCGTTGCAGCCTGTACGGGCGGCGGCTCTAGAAGGCTACGCACACTCCTCGTCTTAGGCTTGCTCCCCTTGCCCCCCTTCGTTCTAGGAGCGGAAGCACGATCTCCAGCGGGCGCCATCGACGCGCGGGGTGGGGAGTGACGACCGGTGGCCGGCGGGGTGGGGAATGGCGACCGGCGAGGTGGGAATGGCAGGCACGGCGCGAGCCTTGGCCCCTGGAGTCGTGTCGTCAGCGAGACCCATCCTTCGACGCCTCACGGACTGATGGCGGCCGCCAGGAAGAGGGGAACGGAGAAGGCAAGTGAGGGAAATAGGGAATACGGGAGTGGAGGTGGGTGTCAACTGTCAAGCACTTAGGGTTGTCAACTTGGGTTGGGCTGTAAGTTGGCTACTGGGCCATGTGACCTGTAGGAATATTGGACCAAATTCGAAACCTTCCGAATTTTAAATACGGTTGCATACCGAATATAATATAGAAATGTAGAAATCGGTCGAAAAGGCCCATATCGAATTCCGCTCCGTTTTCGAATTTTCTGTTCGAATTTCGAACCGAATTCGAATTATTCCGAAAAAAGTGAAAAACGATTGGGTCAAATGTAGAAAACGATGCGATTCGGTTGGGAAATTTCGTTTTCGTTTTCAACCCTAGTCATCCCTCTCCTCTCCGGGGAGGTCGCCGCCGCAGGCTCGAGCCCGAATCGGTGTTTTTGGGCCACCGAAGTCGTCCAGGAATGGTCGACGGCGAATCGGGGCTGTGGAGTCGTCTATGCCAG